TTCAAGCGAGACACGACACGGCCCATTCCCCAGCTTCCCGCGCGCGCTGATGGGCAAGCACAATTTCTGTCTCTTCCCAATAGCGAGTCGTACCTTCAAAGTGTTCTGCAATCACGTCGCGCGCAGAAAAGAACCTTGCCATCATTGCAGCTTCCATCACTACATGGCACTACGATTGAGTAGGTTGAGTTATTTACAGACAAGTACCACCGATTGGCTGAACTAGAGAGCAAGATCGAAAGAAATGAGGAGCCTCAATTGACTAAGGATGTCACTCCCGAGTTGTCCTGCGAAAAGCTAGCAGATGCGATACTTGGACTCATAAACAGTGTTGGAGCAGCGTACGAGTCCAACCCGGAGCAGATGTCTATCTTTATTTTGAGTCTCTTTACACTTTGGGTGAGGCTGGACAGATACATGGCCAAGATCTGCCCTATGATCCGGGACTATCATCCAGCATTTACTCCTGAACTTTTGGATGTGCTGCATCTGCCGACTGTCGCGGAGATGCAGCGACTTCGTAATATCCAGCGCCATCTTCACAGCAGGTGCGAGGGGTGTAAGCATCAAACGACTATATTCTCTGAGCCTGAGAGAGACAGCTTTGTAGTGCGATATGTCTCGACTTCTAGATCAATGCAGCGACTGCACCGACGGATACAACTAGCATCCGAGGTATCACGGCAGGCGAAGACATCAGAGTTGGAGAGGTGGTGGTCTGATTTTGACGAACATTCTTTGGGCATCTCTGGAGGTACATGTACTTGTACATTCAAGCAGGATGGGACGCGAGACGTAAGGGGTTGCACCAAATGCTGGCATTGGCGAGTTCGGAATCGCATGGAGATCTTTGCGCATGAGGACTTTCTCCCGAGCGATGAAATCAAAGCAGCAGCAGTCATCTTTGAGTTGGACATGCCAAAGTCTCTCGCAGCGTATCGAAGTGCAACCTGGAAGATCTTCATGTTGGCTTACCCCGCCAAACCGCAATCCGGATCGCCGACTAAACTCTTGAGAGACTGCGACCCGCTTACAACATACGCCTCGAGACACCCTACCGGTATCACTATTGCGTCAACATCCAAATCGTTCCGTGGCACGCACTACAGGGTCAGTAAGAAGAGGATGAAGGCATCTGAGCCCGATGTGCTCTACCCCAATGGACTGAACTTCTCCTACTTTGACACCGCTTCGAACACCTGGCTCAAAGACTTCGATAAACCATTGACTTTTCAACATGAGTGCGGAGTGCATGTGCCGCCTGAGCTCCGTAGCTCCGTGTTACCAAGTTTGCCGCATCCTCCCACGGCGGCGACTGGGCCGTCTTCCTATGAAACCGTCGCATCGGAGACGCGATGTCCGTCTAGCTTATCGGTACATGAGTTCACGGCTTTTCAGCGACTGCG